GTCGGAGGGGCTTATTTTTTCCAGTACTAATCCACTCAGCTTTGGGTTACCAGTCAACGCGAGTGATCAATAGTGCACCACTTTCTCCGTGCGGGGGGCGGCCTGCTTACCTGGGCTTGTCTTAAAATGGCCGCGGGTATGTGGCCTCAAGCCCCCCCCCCTCAGGCGCAAGTCCACCCCTCGCGAAGGCAGGGAAGCCCCCCACCTCCGAAAGGGGCCTTGGCCGAGGGCGCAGAGGGTTTGCGCGGCGGAGACTTGAGCCAAAATGGCTACGGTTGAACGTGTCGATCTTTTCCATAATGTTCAGCTGTGCATCCGCCTTGGCGTCTCCGGTGCCTTTTCCTGTGGCCACTCCTCTTCCAGCACTGGTTGTCCCCACTCTTGCAGTTGACTTCTTACGCATTGCACTGTCGCTCCATCACCCAGTTGTTCATCCAGGCTTTGTATCTCTTTCGCTAGGCAGCGGATGTCTCCCTCTTCGTCGGGTTGCTCTCTTTCCCAGGCTTGCCTCTGATCTTTGTCTTGTTGCATCCAGATTGCAAGGTATGCGGTCTGCTCCAATCTGAGCTGCACTTCCTCACCTGTGAGGCGCCTCCTCTTTGGCTCCGCTGGCCTAGTATTCTTGTGCCAGGTCATTGATGTCGTTGGCTGTTCCGTCTAACTCTCTCTCTCTCTCTCTTCTTCTTCTTCGGACAGCTCGCTCTTTCCCTCTTTATCTCTCTCTCGCTCTCTCACTCTACTGTGCCATCCAGAGGGTCCAACAAGCCAGGGCACATGAGCGTGAAACAAAAGGGCATGCCATCAGCAACTCATCATACTTCAGTATTCACGAGCTGCCTCACCCTAGCACAACACAAGTCTGGACGGAATGAAACCTCGCCTACTACCCCTGCATCTCTCCATCTACCATCGTGAGCGCTCTCGAACATATAGTCCCCCTTAATTAGATAGAATATGGCTTCGGGTATATTGTAATAAGATCCCTCTATACCCCATGTTCTATCTACTTAAGAGGGACTATAACCCCTAAACTCTAAACCCTATATTCTATCTACTGACGGGGGACTATACAACAGCGATTCATGACATACGAACGTGCGCCACTGCAGCTTACCAGCTATGAAGTGCAGCATGTCACAAAATCTACAAGTTTAAATTTGGATGCTGTAGGGGTTTTGCACATATATATATATATGTATGTATGTGTGTGTAGACTATATAGATATATAGATATATACATATATAGATGTATAAGTATATCTCATTGTGCGGCCTACTTGAGGTATCCTATACCATGGTTATACAAGGTAATTTCCCTAAATAGGGGGACCCCAGTATAGACCCCAAAATACTATAATCCTTATTATGGGGACCCCCAAAAAGGTACCCCTAATTTTGGGAAACCCCCACAAGGACTATAGGACAGCAATGTTGGTAATTCACATGATCGTGGCAACTTTTCCTTCAGCTCCAAGCCTATTAGAGCGACCTAATGTGGGGGGTTGGGGTTGGGTTTAGGGTTTAGGGTTTAGAGTTTAGGTTTTAGGGTTTGGGTTTGGGACCTAATGTCGGGGGTTGGGGTTATTGCGCTCAATGGCCTAGCGCGGACTGGAGCAGCTTGCCACTCAGTTGGTTCATTCACAGTAAGGCCCAGTCACTACACTGATCCAAACGCAAATCTGCTCCTGTTACCCTAGACAGTCTACAGACCTTGATCCAAAACCTATGACGCTAGCCTAAGTCGCCTGGTGCGTAGTAGGGATCCATTCCTTCATTCCCTGCAAAGTGCCAGTATTAGCTAGTGCTTGCTGCGGGCAGTCTCATACAGAGCATGTACTAAGCCATGTACACCAGTATGTGTTCTTGACACATTAGAGGGATACTTTGCGCTGAAGCCATAAACACTAAACCCTAGTGCTGATGTGAAAGGTGCAGGGCTTCAGGTTCAATGATGCTCCACGCCCAGTCATGACAACCCTGCAGGCGCACAACACTACAAGTCGCAATAGTGCCCATACCGTAGATAGGGGTTTCCAAAGGATGTGGGTTTTTTCTCGGAGCTTTTCTCACAAGCACGATCCCTAAGAAATGCTTTCCAGCACAGTCCCTGGACAGGCAAGACCACATTACAGCCCTACCTCAAGACAAACACAGAACAAAAGCAAGGCTCTCAAGAAAACAGATCGTCTCGTCCGACCCCCTCATATCGCGCTGACCCTGTACACTCCCGCTACCACGATATCTGGAGACAGCAGCACCAGCACCTTCTTCACCGTCAATCTCCCCACTCGCTCCTTTAGCCGCGCCCTTACCCTCATGCGCCTCCCTCATCCGACATCCAAATTGCTGGTCTCCCGTCTCAGTGCCCCTGTTTCCTGCGACAATCTCAATCCTAGGTTTGACTCTGGCACTTGACGACCCGGAACTTCGCTCCTCCTCCGCTTCGCAGGTTGTTATCAATGACAATGGCATGCTCTCCTTTCTAAAGCGAGTCGCGGATAGCTCCTACCACTTCAGGATGTGCATTCCCTTCACCTTGTGGATGCCTATGTGAACGATCAGAATCGTGCCCTGCACGCCCTTCCACAGCCGTCATCTGCTCATTCTCTGCCGCCACCGCGGCCTCTACCATGACACTGTGCTCGAGCACTTCTCTCGCCAATCTGGGTTTAGGGCTTTGCGTGTAAGGCTTAGGGCTTAGTACCGAGTATTTGCGGGTCTCCAAGATTAGCGGCCACTTTGCGGAGTCCCCATTCCGAGGACTAGTATACCCTCAAGTCACCATGTAGAACTGCTTGAAAGCCTGCACCTTTGCACCCAGACATGTTTTTTCTTTTTTCCGCTCGCGAAGATCTGAAAGACAGTCGCCACACTGCAGTTGCCAAGTACATGAGCGACACAGGTTTAATCACACTGTGTTCTGTGGGCTTCTCAGGTCTGTATCCTGACAGGCCCTATGCTTGAAGACATGACGATGGCCAATCTCTGGCCCTCTTCTTTTCCGGGAGTGGAGAGCTCAACATCGAGAGCCCAGAGGAGGAACAAACAAGTACTTAGTCACCCCAAACAAGCTGAAAGCACCCATTGAACATATCTAATCCTCGTATAATTAGAAAAGCTCCTACTATTATAGCCGCATGTATTTATGTGTGAGTATATACATATGAACGTATGTATTGTGGGAATGTGTTGCTTTGGAGTGGTGGAGAGGCTGATTATGAGTAAGGTGTGGGGGACTAGCCCTTCTTAACTCCACCAAGGGGTCCCTCACATTTTTCTTGGCTGATGTTGAATCTTTTTCTGGCTCCTCTGGGTCAACGCGTAAAGTGGTGATTCGGCGCTGCTACCGGAGAGGCAACCCTGCTGCGAGACCAAACACACGTGAAGTGTTACCAGCCTACTATTGAGGAACTCAAGCGCTGCCGCTGAATGGTTTAATATAAACTCATACTATGAGCTATAGTCTACACTCCTAGTCTCCGCCTTAATAACCCCTATCATAGTCCGTTGAAAGAATTTAGATTACAGTACATACGGTGACTTGATTTAAGCTCCTTAACAGCAGCCCAGTTTACCTCTTCGAGGTCTGCGGTCTTCTATCAGATTGGAGTCTTCTCGCAAAAATGATCCCAGTAGCTTTTCCACGGACCTCAGAACCCTCTTTTAACCCTAAACCCTAAACCCCTGACGAGGAATCTCACCCTAAAACAACTCTAGGACTTCTCATGTCTGTTGCCCTCATGTCCCACAAACGAAATGTACCTCTAAGAACCCGCAAACCGAACAGTACTTTGAGAGCTGCCCATGTAACCAGCGCACATCAATTCCACCCCGCAACATGACGTCCCAAAGGACCTTACCGGGCCTAAGTAAGGTTCCATGTTTCCTGCGGAGGGTTACGGGCACATTGCCACAAAGCTTCATGCTATCAGCCCTAAAACCTAAACCCTACACCCCTAATCTCCAGACTCCCATCCCCACACCCTAACCCCCAACGGCCTCAACCCTTCAATCCCTAAACCTTAACCCTAAACCCTAAACCCTAAATAGTAGTTTCCATTTTTTCCATTATCCCAATATGACCCCATAACATTTCAATAGACCCCAATCCCTACAGCTTAACTCTGGAGCCTGGAATGACCTCTGCGGCTACCTGCGCCTCACCTCAGACCCCTTGTTGAGTAGGTGGGTCGGCTCGTTGCGGCGAAGACGCGTACAAACATCAGATTGGTTGAGAGTCCAGGGTTGAGGGTTTAGGGTCTAGGGAGTCTAGGGTTGACGTTTTAGGATTCAGGGTATAGAGTTAATTGTTTGGGTCTTAGGTCTTAGGATTCTGGAAATAGCGACACCCTGGCTCCAAAAAGAACTTCTCGGGATCTTATAGTGTGGGTCCTTGAGGAACAAGGGTTACCATGCGATGCTGGAGCAGGACATGCGCAAGTGGCGAAAGAGTGGCAACCCTGATGATGATGGACACATGCTTATCCGCAAGATTGTGGGGTTTAGGGCTTAGGGTTTAGGGCTATACAGCCTCAACCCTAAACTTATATGATTGACGTCGAGAACGGGAGCTAGTGAGGCGCGATGCCGAGCCTTTGACCCACCTGGAAGGTGGCCCTGGCATGGGGGGGCCTGAACAATTGCCAATGCAATGAAGTCTGCGTAATGTACCCTGTATCGTACTTATACAAGAAATCTAGAACCATAACATTGGCAACTATCCCCTCTGAGACCTCTAGATAAGCCCAGTTTCGATTTGATGCTCAAGTTTCTCGTCATTATGGCGAAGTAGCGAAGCCCCTCAACCCTACACGCTAACCTCTCAATAATAGTTTCCATGTCATCTTCCATCTCATTTTACATCTGATTTCGCACTAGAAGCTTTAATTAATAAGTTTCTGGTATTTCAGTCAATAGGGGACCCCAATATAGACCCCAAACCCTAAACCCTAAACCCTAGCCTTACTATGCGGACCCCCCAAAGAGTACCAATGGTCCACTCACTCCTTCTTCTTCTTGCTGGCCCGGTAGACCCCGACAACCAAAGCGTGGTCGCGATGGTATGGCTCCTCGGTTGCAGGACAACCAATTAGTTTAGTCTTTGGGATGTAGGATTTGAGGTTTAGGGTTTAGGATGCAGGGTGTGGGGCGGGGGTTTAAATTTAGGGTGCAGGCTATGCCTAGCCCAGGTAGACACATTAAAGGGACTAGTGTTATCTAGAATAAGAATATGGGTTCTAACCTGGTCATAAATTGCACGTTGCCCTTCAAGTGCCTACAGTAGCGACTGAGTCCGCTGGCACAAACAAAAGATTAGGTGTTCAATTGTGGTAGGACTATATACACAAAAAAAAGCTAAAAGGTTGGATACCCAGCTAGCAAGCCTGCTTCACAGCGAGGAACAGCAATGGGACCATCACTCCACCCACTATTGGGGGGGGGGGTTGAATGATTATCAATATTACACTGAGGTCGATTCGAGGTGCCCTATACCCGATTCGTCCCAGGAATTTAGGACCATAATCTTTACAATTAACTAGGCTCCTACCTTACACACCCTAATTAACCCCTACGTAATCCCAGTTTCCATGACATTTTCCTTGTACGTTTCCATTCGATTCTCCACTATTGGAGATGATACCCCCAAACCCTAAACCCCGAACGGTATGTCGGCCATTACATTAGCTTACCTTCACATACTTCATAACCCAAAGCTTTGGCCAAAAATCGTCGCCCTGGTGCATAGTAGGTAGCGGAAAGAAAATGGAAACTCTGCGGTATTTCAGGTTTAGGAGTGGGAGAAATGGGTTGTAGAGACTCCTTTAGGTATTATAGTCCCCCTCAGTAGATAGAATATGGCTTTGGGTAAATTATCATAAGGTCCCCATATATCCCATATTCTATCTATATGTAGGAACATGTAGGAACTACGATAGGCTTCCCTCCATTTAAACCCCTTATTCTCGCAACCCTCCAACCCCAACGTGCCCCCCCAAACCCTAAACCCTAAACAAAACATTAACCCGAAATTGGCCTCCTAGTCTTCAATCAACCGCATGCTGGATCAGCCTCAAGCAGTCCCCACCGACTACAATTGTTACTGATGGTATAATAGGAACACATAGGGATCTGGTCCAGAACCTCATGCTAATCAATCATTCTTAGTATTACAATATTGCATTGATTGCTATTTTTGGTTCTTAGTACAGGTATTAGCATCATTAGTATTCCTACCCTCTATGACCATTAGTTGTCCTGTCCCTTACGGTCACAATCAGCGGGTGGAAGATGTCCTGATTAGATGAGCTATAGTCTTAACTCCTCATATCTCCCTCAACAACCCCCATAATACTCCCCGATATATTCCCCTTTGCAACCCCCTTTTGCAACAGGCTTCTGAATCCCCCTAAACCCCTAAACCCTAAGCCCTAGACCCTACATGAAAGACTCATATAAAGCCCTATGTATACTCCTTTACGGATTTTAGACTGTAGATTAGAGGAGCCTACCTTGCTTTTCGCAAGGTTTAAGATTTAAGGTTTAAGGATTAAGGTTTAGGGATGCCTAACCACAAAACAGTTCACGCGGGGCTCTTGAACGAAGGAAGCGTCAAGTCTGGACCTCTGTGGTTGTTTAACAACGCCCATGCATTCGGATCCCAGGACGCCTGGCAAAATCTGCTCAAGCTATTGCCAACTTTGACAGAGTAGATATCTAAGGGGAGAACGGGAACAGTATACAAAACCACAAGCGATGCTAATTCTCCCTTGAACCCTATGACCTAAACCCTTGGGAACCCTCACCGGTACCAAGGGACAAGGGTAAGCTGCTCTTTCGGCTTCACACCATCCTTGCCTGAAGCGCTTCAGATGCTGCTTATTATTATTGTTGTTGGTACTATTATTATTACTACTATTACTATTGCTACTATTTAGGGTGTAGGGTTTCGTGTTTAAAGTGAGTTGCTGTTTGGAACATACCTTCAAGCTTACATGTCTGTTTCAAAACGGGCCCAAATCTAGCATCGACATCGTACATGAGGTGCTTGGCGCTGACTCCCTAAACCGAAACGAGAAGGGAAGGTTTCGGGCTTCGGGCGGGTACTTGCCAAACTTGGCCCCGGAACCTGTCACCAAGGAGCAAGGATAAGCATGCCCCAACTAAAGGCTTGAGGCTTTTTCGGAGCACTCCTGGGGTCTGAATATTTAGGAGGCTGGTAGTGCTCCACTACATAACATACTCCTCAAAGGGGCTGGCAACTGTGGAATGTAAGGTAGAAAGGCGAATGTCATACATAAAAACAACTATAGCTGCTTGTAGGTTCTAACCAGGTTCTGACTTACGTCTTGTCCTACCCAGTGGAATGTGGGTTTGGCCAGCTGGCTCTAGGAATTCCTCTGACCACAAGCGCTGAACTTTCGAAGCATGGCTTGGGGATTAAACCCTGGAGCAGCCCAGACAGCCAGAGTTCAGGGCTGTAGAGATCTAGACGGGGGTTTAGGGTTTAGGGTTCCGGGCTTAGTGTTAGGGTTGCAACTATATTTTGCCAACGTTCCTTGCGTGCCCGGAAACCCAATACCCCTATCTAAATATTATATAACCCCAATATACTATCGTAGTTCCCATTTTATTTTCCAGCATCTAAGGTAGGGTTAAAGTACCCACTGGTGAACCGCTGCACTCCCCGAATGGGGAGCTATGACTGTTTGGGGCTTTGGGTTTAGGGCTTAGGGTTTAGGGTTTACGGTTTAGTTAGGGTTTAGAGTTTATTGTTGAGATTCAGGTCAAAACTCTGATAATGATGGCTTTAACCTCAAGACTCTCAAAAGAGCGGCTCTCAAAATCAAGCGGTCGCAGGGGGTTATACAGGCATTATGGCGTAGCCCAAATCCCATGTCCAAAAATTCTAGCTAGATCCTGTTTGTGCAGAACCTACTGGGTACCTTCCATGTGGCCTCTTGCAAGTGCTTGCTGTATCTTTTTGTCCGAGCATGCTGCAAATCCGTGCATTTCCATCTTAACATATACTGTAACTGTGGAAATTTCAAGCGGTCTCTAAAGCCACATGCCCAAAGTTGCCTTTTGCTGGCGCCCCAACTTCTACTCAGTGAAGTTGATTCTAACTGGTGTTTCATATTCCTTGCTGACAACCTGACTTTTCCACACTGACCCCTTCAAATCCTAAATCCGAAACCCTTCAAACCTTTGATCCAGACCAGCGACGCAGCTTATCAATCTCCATGGCGAAGACGGCCTCCGGCGCAGCCGTGGAGTCCACACAATTTGCCTGGACGCCAGGGACAGATTTGGAGGTTTCTAAAACTTGCAGGCCGCTGTAAAGGGGGGCTGTAAATTTCCAAGAATTGGAGATCCCTTTCTGGGGGTCCCTATCATAAGCACTATAGTATTTTGGATATGTATTGGTGTGCCCTTTTTCGAGGAAACTACCCAAGTTTAGGAAGTGGGAAAAAGAAAATAATTTCATTGGTATTAAGTGCACACAAAGGACTCATCGAGGACATGGGTCTGCAACAAGTGTTGCAGGGTTGGGCGATTGGGCATTAGGGGCCGAGGACTCAGATTGTTGGTGCATGAAGACTCCAAAACTTACAGTGAGATACATATTATACTATAGTTAGAGTTGTACGTGGCGCCTAAGGGGGCAGTACCCAACAGATCAACATCGCGAAAAAATCAACCAGTCATGGAAACCCAGGCCAAAACAAGGTGAAGGAATGGAAAAGAACATGAAAACTACTAAGTCATTGGGGATGGTTACAATTCCTCCGTTCCAAACTAATCCGGGGGAGCCAAGACACCAGAGTCGGTCAATAAGGGATTCATGTGCCTTCTCTGGTCAGGAGTGCAGGGTAAAAGCCAGGGGCCTTGGTAAAAACTAGGAACCTGGCCGAGTGAGCGTGGTTCGGGCTGAAGAGTCATCCTATACTAAACTATACAATGATTCTGGAACTGTGATGGTAACACTTGTCTAGACCCCTGCATTACAATAAAGGGACTCTACTGGGAACCCCAAATTCAAATAGGGAACCCCAAGAATATAGTAGGAATATAATGGAATATAAGGACCCTGGTAGGTATATTCCTATTATATACCTACCATATTCTTAGGGTTCCCGGTTTGGGGTTCCCAGTAGAGTCCCTTTAAACAAGGACTGCACAGGACCTCGGAAAACACCTTTCACAGAGCCAAGGTGAAATGGATTCTTCGTAGAATGTCTCGTGGCCCCTATGACCCAACAGTCCTCATGTAGAAGTCCGGCTACTTGTTGGGGGGGTTGTATAAGCTATCTTGCATCCTTCTAGAGTCTCTAGAGGTGTACTTCATGCTTCAAGTACTCTTTGTTAGGATAAGGATCCCCTTGCATCCCCAAAAAAACCCTCGTGATCCGGCCCGTGTTTTCAAACACCTATGCTTTGCCCGTGCTCTTGATACCAAACCCATACACCCGAACCTCTGGTGGCCTTGATGGAGATCATGACCCAGCCGTTGTTCTTCAAGAAGAAGCCGGCATTGTGAGTGACGATACGTGCCTCTGATAGTCCAGTTGGAAGCTCTAAGCATCAACCCTCTGCAAGAAGCAGCCATAACTCATGTGACGTGTTCGAACAAACACATGTGCTTGCCGGCTTTCAAAAAGTGAACAATTGCAGATGTTCTTCTTTCTGAACTTGTGTTATTAGCCGTATAAACCCCTGTGTATTACAAAAGCTCTATTCGAGAAAACTGATAATGAAATGCAAGTTCCAATGGTGTTGGGCTATATCATTTCCTACAAGATATCCGTTTCAACTTGAAACCTGATGTAACTCCTATTTATTCTGATCGCTTATAAAACCCTATGTAGTACGACAATCCGCGTATAGCCCCTTCACAATAGCTATATAACCCCTATATAGCCTATATAGCCTAGACCCGCCTAAACCCTAAAAAAGAAATGCTGATAAGCCCAGCCTGGTCTGGCTGTGCCACGTCAGAAAAGATCACGTCAACCATGCCGATCAACATTCCTAAGGACTCTAGGGTTTAGGGTTTAGAGGGTTAGGGGCTAGGGTTCAGGATTTAGGGTTTAGGTGTGTAGCCGGGGTTTAGGGTGTAAGGTTAGTTTTCGAAGAAGCGGTGAGAAGACAAACTTGCAGCCTTGTCTCTTTCCAGCTTTTCGCCAAAAGACTTCTAATGGAGGTTCAGGGCAACTATAACCCAATAATCGGTTTAGGGTTTAGGGCTTAGGGTTTGGCACCTGTATTCCTATAACCCAATACTCACTGGCAACTATAACCCCATCAGTAGGTTATATCTACAAATATAATTGGGATATTATCACCCTGAGCCTCCAAGTACCCTGAAGCTGACACCCGCAGTGCTAATCCTGAGCCGGCACCCCGTCATACCCATGATATCCATACTATTAGGATTTAGGGTTTAGGGCTCAGGGCCCATACTATTAGGATTTAGGGTTTAGGGCTCAGGGCTCATACTATTAGGATTTAGGGTTTAGGGCTCAGGGCCCTCACATATGAAAATCTGGGCTCTACACACATCTCGGTTCCCTTTCGGCAAAGTCAGGCAAGGCCAACGGGAATTGGGCTTGTTCGTGAATGCTGCCTGCCCCTTTACATAGTCTACATAGGGATTTTCCAAAATTGGGCTTCCTTTTTGAGGGTCACAAAAAAAGGAAATAGATCGTAGTGGCGTCTACATAGGGGTCTCCTCACTTATGGAAGCTGACATTCTTACACCAGGAACACTCACAACCAACAAATGCAGGGACTTCACATGGGGGACTGTCAAAATTATGGTCCCTTTTTGGGTCCCTATTATAATACGGGGCCTAATACGGGGCCTAATATAGGGGACCCAAAAAGGGACCATAATTTTGACAACCACCCATAGAACCCTATAGTAAACCCTATGATAACCCTATATAACCCATTATAGTAGTTTCCATTTTCTTTTCCATTATCCCTATATATCCCAACAAGGGCTCATAATTTTGACACATGAAAGCTGAAGCCAGCCAAGGAGGTTGTATTGGGATCCTAAAGGCTCGCAGGGTTCCTACGCCTCGCAGGGTTTACAAAGTTCAAAGGGTTTCTCGGGGTTCTAGGATTTATGGGGTTGAGAAGGTTTATGGGGCTTATAGAAGTCTATGGGGGTTTATACCTAACCCTGAACCCTAAACCCAAAATTCGGTTTGTAGGCGCAGACGTAGCTGGCAAAGCGTCGGTATCGCTGCGGCTGCCGTGCATCCTCAACGATGGGAACAACCTGAGACAGCTTTAGGTTCTGCTTTCCTTTCGTGTTGGGGTTTGGGGTTTGGGGTTTAGGGCTTGGCTTTTTTTAGGGCTTGGGGTGTTTTAGGGCTTAGGGATTGGGGTTGGGAATTTAGAGTTTGGGGTTTCGCATTCGTGTTTTTAGGCTTGGGTTCACAGCTAGATTAGGTTCAGTCCTCAATTCATCTTGCTTCAGGATCAGACTTCCTTCCACATGAATGGGGCAATATCACATAACCCAGCTTCCATAGAGGAACTTCAGGCCTGTGATACCAACAACCTGTGTCTCTCCACATTTCGGGTATGTAGGGTGACGCAAGATTTGATAGGCATTCCAACCTTTTGCATGCTTGAAGTTTGAGGTTGGCCAGCCAGCACTTACCTCCACCCTCACATGGGCGACTCTGAAACTTTCACATCCACAGTACTTTCCATTTAATTTTCCATTATCCCTATATAACCCCAATAAACCCTAACATATAACCCCTATTTAGTAGTTTCCATTTTATTTTCTTTTATCCAATGATTTTTCATTGCACCAGCCACCCCAAACGCGGGTGATCTAAGGGGGCCGGGCCACATTCGGGCGTCTCTTGGCCATATTCGTTAGATCGCGGCCTGACCGGTGCGAGAACTCCACGGCATAGACCTCATGCATTGACTTGAGGATTTGGCAACCCTCCTCCAACTTCCTGAGCGTTAGTCGGGAAGAAGGTAATATAATGTATAGGAATGATGAGGGGATTATGTTCCCCTTCTTCCCCCAGTAAGCCAATCCAATATGGAACGCTAACCAAAACCTCTACAGTCCCTCTGATGAACAATACAGATCCTCTTGGAGACGCGGGGATGGCCAAGGAAATGTAAGAATTCCTAGTGCGGAACCAATGCCTGCATACGTTTTGCAGGACAGCCACTCAAATGTGTAATCCCTGGATGCAACCATTCTCCACCGAACCTTCTCACTTTCCAGCTCAAGTATTGAAGCTCACAACAGGCGGCCTTTAAGTTCAAGGGTTAACACGTACTTTCAATACATGTCCATCGACCGCTCTGTAAAAAATCTTCCAGGGTCCGTCCCATGATGTGTTGCTGGCGGCCAACGGACAACTCAGGTTTCATCATGTGGTGGCGATTTAAATGCGTTCTCACGGCTGGTGACATGGGTCTTGACCGTAGCGTTTTCTACTGAGGCCTGCTTGCACACAAACATGGATTAGGAGCAAGGCTTGCAGGGCAAATGCTGCTAACTATCGAGAAACAAGCTAAAGCTCTAAAACCTCAACCATGTCATGAAAGCCAGTAGGCACCACGAGCACCGCTGAAGCATCCCGCCGGAAAAGACCGGAGCAGGTAGGCTTTGGACTCAGTCTGGACCCTTCCAGACCCCAGGTTTGATACGCAGGGAACCCAAAGAGGATGAATGGCCATTGGTTCATTCATAAGCTGAACCTTGCAACATACCGACCAGTTTGAGTATTTCTCAGGCACAGCCCTTGACTGACCACAGAGCATTTCCCTCCCTCCTACAAAACCCAGGAATCCACTCATTCTAGTCACGACTCCTGCATGATAGAATTGTTTAAGATCTTATGGTAACACTACTACTATTCGTATTACTATTTCACTAGCATTACAATTTTTACTGTTCTAAGTATTCTGACTATTCTGACTACTATCACTTTTTATGACTCTTGTGACTCTTATTACTCTTGTTACTCTTGTTACTCTTACTCTTATAGCTATTATGATTACTACTACTGAAACGTGCAGGCCAAGTGGCCACGCCCTCCGGACCAACCATATCGGAGACATGCGAGACCGTGGTGCCGGAGGCACCACCCAAGTACAAGACCTCCGGGGGATGGAGGAAATCTTGCACCACTTGAGCTATAGCCTAAACTCCTTAAAGGGGACTATATAGGGGAGTATTATGAGGGTTATAAAAGGGGATACTACGAGTTTAGACTACGTATATAGCTCACTTGGTACCTGTAAAAACCGTCATTGGCATTGGGGTGTATAGGGTGGTGCAAATTTCTTAGATCCTTAACCCTAAATGGTTGTTCGCCCTCCGGGGTCGATGCAACCAGGATGAGGAAACGAGGGGATATCAGGGGTCTAGGACTCAAGGCTACAGGATGTTCAGGATTAGCGTTTGGGATCCACGCGGCCACTTACTAGACGATGACAGCATAGCCTGAAGCTGGATGATTCAGTAGCCGCCTGGAAAGCCAAGTTACCTCACCTCAAGCCATAGGCAACCATATTCTACAAATGGGGAAGAGTTACCCAAAGCTATAGTCTGATTACCTGGGTGAAAAACGTGCGAAAGACCAGAAACACATACATCCGCGTCATGTCACGCGCGAAGACACTCAAGTCCGCAATTTGCGCTCAACATGGCCTTGGTAAGGAACATGGTCTATGTCCATAAAAGCAGACAAACCTATACATCAGCATTGTTAAGTTATGATTAGTAGCAGCGAATTAAAAAGTTAGCAACCATGTATTGATATTCATCTCAAAACCGCACCTGCTTTTGCACCTAAGTCTACTTCGCGCAAACTTGCGCATTGCTGAATTCAATTTCCTTGAAAGCATGTATGCACCCCTTGGTATGGGTTCTTTGCGCTGGAAATTTTGACATACCCCACTTGCAGTACACACAAGCCCTAAACCCTAAACACCTTGCAAAAGGTAAGCACTCAAAACCAGGCGCCCATACTTCCGACCCCTTGGCTCCCGCAACCCTACCTTGGGTTTAGGGTTTAGGGTTCTTCCAACCCAGGACGGCAATAGAAGGAACCTTAAACCCCTGAACCCTCGAAAGACCCTAAATCTGGAAACCTCCTGAACTCTCGTACCAAGCTTATGGTTCAGGGTTTGAAGTTTAGGCTTCAGGGTTTAGGGTTTAACGTTCAGGGTTCAGGGCTTAGGGCTCAGGGTTTAGGGTTCAGGGTTTAGGGTTCAGGGCTTAGCGTTTGAAAGTTCAGATTCTAGTACTGTTGACCCGGCACCTTGGCACCGGGCTTGACAGGGCAGGCCCCAATACCTCAGGGCTGGTGCAGCGAGGGCTCCAAGACAGCTACCCCGATCATACAAGGCTTAGGGTTTTGAGTTTTGGATTTAGGGTTAGTGGTTTTGGGTTTAGGATTACATGGGCATTCTACTTGGACGAATAAAAGCCCCACAGGACTTTGAGATTCTGGAAAGCCCATAGTAGGGCTTTCTGAGCCTCAGCATGAATTTGCTAAGGTCCAGCTGGAGTCTGAACAATCAGGCAACACCCTTGACGCAAACTCTTGCAACCTGCTTCAGTAGTTTCTTTCCTGGGTTGAACCTAGTAAGACTACATATTGCAGCTCCACGCCCGCAGATTCTCCACCGAACCGAGCCCCCTCCACACACACCAAACGGAAGAATTTGGCCGAAAACTGGGGTTTGGGGAATCCTGAGGTTTTCAAGGAATCCCTGTGAAGGACTAGATGGCGACAGTTTTCAGAAACACCTAAGTGATCACATCATCAACGTCACGACATGGACCCCCAAAAAGGTAGCCCCCATTGGGAAACCCTAAACCCTGAACTACCTTAGTTGCATGGTCATCCCATACCAGCCTCCAACGATGCCTGCGCCCAACTTTGAGCGGAAGGGATTCCACACTCGGTACTCAATCCTGGGACGTAGGGTTTAAGGTTTAGGCTTTAGGTATATAGCTTCAGGTTTTTCAGTTTAGAATTTAGGGTTTAGGGCCTCAGGATGCGCCTGGCCCTTCACGAAGCCCAACAACAATCCAATTTATTATTTGAAAGGCCTAGATGTTTAGGATTAGGGAATTAGCCAACCTATTCTATAGGGATTATATATGGCTCATATTCCCTTATTGCCTACGAACAACCAGTACGTTTAGCGTCCTAATCTCACACAAACCCATACTCTCAAGCCTCCTCTAGGTTGCTGTTACAAGTATTGGGCGCACCCTGCTATTTACCGTGTACCATGTTGCAATAAGTTGGTTTGAGTTCCTTCAATCCCTCTATAGCCACTACATAATCCGAGTGTCCATTTGATGCTCCATTCAAGCAGCTTAACCCGAAACCTCATACTCACCCCTGAGCTTTCTTGAAGGAGCCCCTTACGATACCTTAACTAGACTCTATACTCTAAACTCTAAACCCATTCCCGTACCACCCCTATATATACCCCATATAACCCCGATATATTTCCAACATAACCCCTATAGTTCAAGCCCACCCTCGTTGTTGATTCTCTCGGCAGGGCACTTCTCTTCTCCGTCCGCCGCTTCGGCTACGAGGCGTTTCTCCCCGTAGACCTGCTCGCGAGCCGCTGTCTAGGTGGCTTTAGGTCTTTAGGGTTAAGGGTAGGGTTTCATTAGAGTGGGTGGACATGGGGATTATATCAGCTATAATCAAAACTCCTAGCATCCCATTTCATGAGCCCTAGTCGTCCCCTATATAACCCCCTGTATAACCCCCTCCAAGGAGTTTAGACTATGGCTCATGTGTGCACACATCTTAGGGTTTAGGATTCAGGGTTCGGGATGTCGGGTTTACAGGTTTAGGATATTTTAGGATGTAAGGTTTAATTACACCTAGGGTTAAGGGCTTTCTCAAAACAAGGATCGGTTCAGGGTCTAAGCTGATATACTCTGAAACAGAAGGTTACTTACTCAGGTCACGCTGATCTGTTCCTGAAGTCACTGTAGTCCAATTCTCCCTCCCTGCTTGATATGGGGTGTCCCAAAATTAGGACTACCCATTTGGGAGTTCCTCAATTCCCTACTAACAACCAGAAAGGGCCATGAACAGCTGCAACATGGACTACCTCGTCTTGCGGTAGTAATCACCAGCATCAGCAACATATTACTTAGGATGTCGGTCGTGTTCAAATGAGGATGCGTCGTAAGGCCGCATCCACTGCTGTACCGCTTCCTTCTGATGAAACATCCTGTCCATGACATGTGGAGGTTTCCCAAATTAGGGGTACCATTATGAGGGTCCCTGTAACAAGGATTCTAGTACTCTAGGAGTGCCCCATCACTTGAGAGGGATTCCATGTCGCGGGGCCCATTGTAATCCTATGAGATTGAGGAAGGTCGCATCTCGTCAACCTTGTCTCACGCTCAGACCTTTCCAGCCCAGATTTTGCTATTAAATTTGGGCACAGCAAGAAGCAGAAAAAAGCTGGAATTCTGAACATAAGATTCCCCGGTCCAAGCTCCAACCGCTAAACAGTTTAGGGTTTAGGGTTTTTAAGGGCTTAGGGTACATTATATTACATTACACCCGCCACCCCAACATACTGAACCCTGTGGGCATTCGTCAAGCTGAGGGTCGCCCCCCATAGTCCCTCTTAGAGGGACCCCCAAGAAGCTGCGCCTGTACCTACCTGGTCATCTGATCCATCTTCGCCCGTAGAAAGAAACCCTAAACCCTCAATCCTAAACTCGAAAACCTAATCCTAAACCCTGAAACCCTAAAAACCCCAAAACCCTCAAATCCTGAACACTAAAACCTAAACCTATATAACCCATTGTAGTAGCTTCCATTGTCTTTTCCATTACCCCAATATAACTCTAACCCTAAACCCTAAATATAGTAGCTTCCATTTTCTTTTCCATTCTCCCTATATAGCCCCTCTATATCCTCAAAACCCTAAACCCTATATAACTTTCATCTCAAGGCCACAGACTCCCCTGGCACGAGGTTCCGGGTAACGAGAGAGTCATCCTACGGGTTCCCCGGCTTTGAGGGCAAGGTAAGACAACTTACTGGGGGGTGTCGGGAATTAACCCTAAACCCTAAACCCTAAACCCTAAATCCCTAAACCTTATGGTTTAGGGTTTAGGGTTTAGGGTTCAGGGTTAGTGGGGAATGAGGATTTGGGGTGTAGGCTTTAGGGTTTCAGTTTTAGGGGTTAGGGTTTAGGGTTAGTAGGGAATAAGAGAATGTTGTATATGGGGATCACATAAGGATTAGCTTCCCTGATTAGCTTCCCTTATTCCCTACTAAGTAGCAGTTATACAGGGGCTTGAATAATTCATATCAATAATGGAGAATCACAGTAAAAAGAAAATGGAATATGGCATGCAAGCAGTGATTATGTGGGAATTTATGGGATTGTAGGGTAGGGACCTACATAGTTTCCAAAGGTTTCCAACATTTTGTTGACTGGCTGTTTGAGATACTCTCTAACGTAATTCTAGATGGAATCCAATACCCTGATCTAGATAATGGTACAATTTTGAATTTCTGACTCCTTTTTCCATCGGCTGCCCTGCAATAGTTCACGGTTTAGGGCTTGGGGTTTTGAGTTTAGGGCTTGGGGATTTGGGGTCTTGGGGTTTGGGTTTAAAGTTTGTGTCTGAAGCTTGGGGCTTAAGGTGTCACACTTAGAGTTCGGGGCTGGGGGGTTTAAACGGCAAAACTCGTATAACTGGGGTGTTTGACAAGAATTGCTGGGATTTTGAAATGCTTGTGTAGGGCTTTCTGTGGGGACCATCTCCTCCATTCGTTGCTGAGCCCTTGCCCATGAAAATGAACCCCACCCGACCCCACAAGATGCAGATCTTGTCGGCGACAAATTGAAAGTTGTCAAGAGGGGAACGTCCATTGCTTCTGGAAATACACTCCCCCAAACTAACATGGAAACCCATATAGCCCCATTTTAGAAGGACTGTAGTCTTTATAGGGCCTTTTTTGGGTTTCCATGTTAGTTCCCAGGAGTGTAAGGGTTGATCACATGAGTTTGGAAGACTCGTGGAACTAGCCCAGGAGACGCCCTCAGAAGAACCACAAAGCGACGGCACCCACGGCGACACCGCGAAATCATTCTTTGTAGGCTTCCTTTGGGTTTCAGATGGTTTCAGGTTTAGGGCTTAAGGTTTTTTGAGGCTCATCCATTCCATGATCAGGGGGGTTCCAAAGGTGTCAAGACAATCATCTGAGCTATAGCCTTAACTCCTAGCATCCCCCTTAGTAACCTCTACAGTAGTCCCCTATATAATCCCCTATCTCCTATGACCCCCTTAGAAGAATCTTAGTTTATGGCTCATCTGCAAAGCAAGCTGGTCCTTTCCCTTGGACACGAACGCACCTTCGTGACCTGGACCGGCTGGGGCTTCGCAATCTGTGCTGACTGAAACTTAAGATCCCATTGGTCATAATATGACTGACCTGAATTCTGATAATGACGCTGATAACAAAGGTAGCAATAATGATGATCAAGGTTTAAAGAAACTTCAACATCACCCGACTCACACGTTGCATGGTCAAGCTTTGGGACTCACTCAAGGCGGTAAACCGACCAGAAACAACTGCAGTCAATATGAGCTATAGTCTAAACTCCTAGTATCCCCCTTACTAACCCCTAGAGTAGTCCCCTATATAATTCCCTATATAATCCCCTATATAATCCCCTATATAACCCCCTTTAAGGAGTTTAGACTATAGCTCATATGGAGATGCGAAGAAGCAAAAGGAGGCTCCGATGCTGCCAGGGCACGGTGAGCTTCAATTACGACCTTTGCTGCCCCCTTCTTTCCTCCGCCCTTGCCGCCGCCTTTCGCCTTGCCGCCGCCCTTCTTTCCCTTTCCCTTTCCTTTGACTTTCCCTGCCAGGGGTTCAAATGCATGTGATGCTCCTGCAACGTCTGAATGAATCTGCGTTGCATTGCATGCGCTGAGGACGCAACCACCTAAGTGTTACATCCTAGCCCCCACACCCTGAACCCTAAACCCCTACACCCCTAAACCTTTAAACCCCTAAACCCCTAAACACCTAAGCCCCGGCCCCTCGCCAGGCCTTTGCCTTTGTCGCCTTTACCTTTGCCTTTACCTCACATGGCCAGGGAAAACTAAAAAACTTCAGCGTTTCCGGTCTAGGGGTTTAAATCCTGCTGGCGGGAAAGCCCAAATCGCTCATCTCTTCTATTCTAATAAAGGCTGATGACAGGAAACGCTTTCATCGCAAGTCCAGAAGAAACAACAGGTTGTCAATCGTTTTAGGGTTTAGGGTTTAAGGTTTAGGGTTTTAGGGTTTGGGGTTTAGGGTTAGAAAATATGGTGGACTTTCCAACTTCAGGCCCAGTTGCCGCCCTTCCCCATCGCCGCTGCTTTGGTGGAGCACCAGCGGAGAACCGGGCAGCTATGCGTTCGAGCCAGGATAGCGCCCAAGAGGAAAAATGTTCCGGGCCCCGCGATTGTTAAAGAAATCGTAGACTACTTTCACCTACCGGTGGTTAGTAGGGAATAAGGCAATAAATCCCTATACACCCGATACAATGTATTCCTTCATTCCCTACCAACCCCCAGTAAGTTCCTCATTGGCGGAAAGACAAAAAAACCTTTTGAACCCGTTGAATTGGATCCTTACCTCTGTCAGCAGCTGTTCTCTAGTCTGCAGAACATCTTCGCGCCGTTTGTCACTAAACATAGGTCATTGTTGAATCTAACTGTCAATTGCTTCTTGCACTATACTCCCCCTTAAGCAGATAGAATATGACTCTGGGTATATTATAATAGGCTCCCCATATACCCCTAAACTGTAAGCCCTAAATACTATCTATCTTCCATCTACTTAAGGGGGACTACACCGCCTGAACCTTTTTGTCTGAGTTGCTTGGCCTCTCAGCCTCTGCAGACTGACCAGGTAGAGGGACTTTAACGTTCAGGGGTTTGGGGTTTAGGGGGTTTAGGGCGTAGGGCTTACAGATTCAGGTTTCAGGGTTGGGATTTAGGGTTCAGCGTAATGGAAAATCCAAAAAAAAAACGGAAGATGAGATGGAAACTGCAATGATGTAGGGACTCATATTTAGAGTCTAGGGTCCCAGCCTGGCAAATTGCGATACACCAAAGCAACTACAAGGACTATAGAATATTTTAGGTCAATCCCCCCTATAGCAATGGCTCCTTAATATGTAGTTAATAGGGCCTTAATATACCTACAATAATCCCTTGTGGTATCCATTACTGGGTGGAGGATTGACCCAAAGGATATTGCCTGGTTATGACTTGGGCGTTCCCTACCTAGCAACCTGAGACCCTGTGCCTCTGCAAATCCTACCTCTACACCCCTCCACCCCCCTAGCCTAAACTCCTAAAACCCTATACTCCCCAAACCCCCTAAACTCCTACAACCCTAGACCCCCTAAACTCCTACACTTACAACCCCCCCCTATGCGCCCCAACCCCGTCCCAGCCCTGGCGAGGCCCATACAGGTCCGGCGATGCTGCAGGCTGCGTCATCAGATGCGGAAGCGCGGCTGCAGCCCTTGGTGCAGAAGTTGAAAGGGTGTAGGGTCTGGGGGCGTAGATCGGCTTCAGGGTTTTGGGGTTTCGGGGTATAGAGTCTATGGGCTTAGATGGACTTTAGGGTCTAGGAGTTTGAGGGGTATAGGGTCCAGGTGCTTTAGAGGGCGGAGTCAAGGAGTTTCTGGGTTGGAGTTGAAGAAGTTTGGAGTTTAGGGCGAAGGGGGTTCGGCGGAAGAGAGGGCTTCAAATCCTGGCGGGCTCCTAAATCCTAAACCCTAAACCCTAAATCCGAAACCCTAAACAGTAAATCTTAAACCCTTGGAATCTTCAGAGTTTGGGCGCGCACCTCCTTCCTTCCGACTTTCCTTCCTTACTGGAGCCCTATGCTAAACTCCTTCAAGGGGGATATATGGGTGGTTGTCCAAATTATGGTCCCTTTTTGGGTACCCTAAATATTAGGTGCCGTATTATAATAGGGACCCCAAAAGGGACCATAATTTTGATAACCACCCATATATAGGGATAACATGGGGGACAACTATAGGGTTCATTAAGGGGGACACTAGGAGTTTAGACTATAGTTCATATGATACTGTACTGCTCCAAACCATGTTTTGACGCGCCTGAATAACTTCTGTGTGCAGCATGCTAGGCACCTTGTAATACGACATGATATCATAGCATATTCTGCCATATTTCAATATAATCCTCTTATTTGGACCTATATTAAATTCCATATCTGTTATAATTTCATGAGGTTATACTACAATGAAATCAAAACGAATTCTTACAGGGACATCAGTACGTATGCCATATCTCTGCTGCTTTATTCCGCTGGGTGCTAGGCTCATGTGTCACAGCCGGTGGTGGCACAACAGCCGGTGGTGGCACAACAGCCGGTGGTGGCACAACAGCCGGTGGTGGCGGCACCGGCATGGTCGGCAGCCTCAGTTAGGGTTTAGGGCTTATGGTTTATGATTGGTGGTTGAAGCAACTACGCTGCCATTGACCTGCCACAAGCCCTAAATCGAATAACACAACCACTTAAACGTAGTCACAATAGAAAACATCGTCATCCTAGTAATCATAGTAAAAATAGTAATAAGAATAATAAATTATTCTTATTATTATATGAAGCGCAAATGCAACATGCTGGCGCAGCCACCCGGGATGCAGGGGCGGTTGCGACATTGTTGCCTGGCAGAACGCAACAAAGTGGCTTAATCATAACCCAGACCCGTGATGAATAAACCCCACTCCCTTAACAGAGATCCTAGTAGGGATCCTTATATTCAAGCCTGAACCCTAAACCCTAAACCCACCTTTCAATGAGGGCGCTTATTCATCATGAGCCAACACTACATTTTAACCCAATATATACCCTATAAAATCCCTATATACCCCTATAACCCCAGTATCTACTACTGTAATTAAATTACCTTTTGGTCCGAGTCCAGTGTGCATCTCCAAAAATGGTGCCAATCCCAAGAGGGATTCTCGAGTTCTCTGCTCCACACCGGGAACACCAATGGAGTAACGCTTCCGGATCTTCCGGGCTCTATGTGGTGGTTGATACCCTGGACAGTCTCTGGGCGACCGGAGCGTCAGAAGTCTAGCTGAGTTGTGACTTCTCCTCCAAGACCCGGGCGCACTTCATTTCTCAAGCAGCACCCTGATCCCAAACCCTAAAACCCAAGCTGCAAATCACTCGGAACATTACCTAGGCTTACCACAAACGGTGGGACAGAATGCTTCAAGGGCCTTTTGCAAGAAGGATCTTAAAGAAGACCTTGAAATAGAAGACAATGGGAGGCATCATGCTCGGATTGCCTGGTTGCCTTTTAAAATGCCATTGTGAATATACTACCATACTCATTATGACTCTTATGCTATAATCATCAGACTATTATGCCATCCAGGGCCTCTAGATTACACCGTTCGGATCGATGTCTCCTCTGCTGCAACCCACGAGAATTATCCATGATATCATTAATAATCAGAACACCATCAACCGCGTCAGCCAGCAACTGAGCACATAACAGCTCCTGTATCATTGACCTAAACACTTGCTGCAACCCAACACCAAGCACCCCAAGCGTGGATGGGTGGCCAGACGCTGCCAATCTCCCCAAAAGGGCCACTCTGGTAGTCCAGCTGCTCAAAGGGGGCTTATAAACTTGGATTCGTGTTTTACAATGGGTTTACGTTGTTGCTTGAAGATCTCGCAGACTGGGTAGATAATTCTACAAGTCTTTGCGCTAGTCCTGCTCCGGCTTGATATGTCTCATCCGCACCCCTCAGCCGGACTGCGCCATCGATGAAAGCATTCAGCAATGCGCCAACTGCATGTCTGCAACATGCGAAATCTGAGTCGAATGTGCAAAAGCCAGACCTCCACAAGGACCCGCCATGTAAATCCGCATGCCTCTTTTGCGCAACCTCCGTGAAGTAGCAAATTACCAACATCATGTTGCAGGGCCCCTCACTGGCAATTCCTTGGGTGAGCTATCATCCAAACTCCTTAAAAGGGAGTGTGTGGGGTATAGGGGTGTGTTTTAATTGTTTTTTGGGGGAAACTCGGAGTGTAGACTATAGCTCAGATGAAGCTTCATAAACCCGGGACGGCCCTTCGTTCCGAACAATTAACATTCCAGACTTCGGAAGACCCATGATCCTCAGCATGTCACGAAATACAAGCTTCTGTCAGATTTGTGTTAGCTACGAGAACGAGACTGGAATCGCAGCAGCAACCTCCTTTGGTGCTATTGCTGCTGCTGCTGCCGCCGCTGCTGCTGCCGCTGCGGCCGCTGCTGCCGCCGCTCTTTCAGTGTTACGGCCAATTCTGCCTACTGTTGGTACTACTTCTGCCAGAGTCCCCATATAAATCCCTGTAATCCTATGTAACTCCCAATTTCCATGTCAGATTCCGTTTGTTCTCCGTTATCGGGGCTGAGGTAGCAGAATTCCAGCAAAGCCAGCCCTGTGTGCTGCTCTTTTTGGCCCTGGGCAAGCTGGCCGATGACGGCGCCTCTGCTAAACCAAGGCCCAACGGATGCGAGCTCGGAAGTAAAGATGAGGAGGAATGAGAGTTGAGTGGCTTAACGCATTGAGTACACCGACATCGCCCAAAGCTTCGTGGCAAGGGTAGAGCTGTTCCAGTTATCTGAAGCCGTTCTTACTCAGATCTTTGTTGGACACAATATTTTCGGAAATACTTGCCATCATCCCAGCTACTGCCACTAGTTGTCACGTGTAGGCAGGTTGATGTTGTTTTGGCTGTGTGTCGCAAGACCAAGCGGCCCTTCGGAGTAGTTCTTGCTGAAAGTTTTTCTGAAATGTAAACAAGATAGTACAAACATCTAGGCATGACCGAGGCTACCTATAAGCTTTGGTGTTGCCTACTGTTAGGCTGGGACTATCTTGTAACTGCCGACTATCTGCGCCATGCTGGCCGTGGGTCATACCATCAAGTGATCAAAGCCTAGACCTTTACAACATGAAAATGCTTTGGAGTTTAGGGTTTAGGGTCTAGGGTTTGATGTTCAGGATTTGAAGCCCTGAAGCCTTCTGCTACTGGCCGTCCTG